AAAAAAAATCAAGCAGTATTTACTACTCTAGCAATTGCTAAACAAAAAATGGATCTGGTAAATCCAGGATAAATTTTGAAGTAAAAAAAATGTCCAGTGTTACTGGAACACAGCAGTACCCTTTGATGTACAAGCTGTTTTTGGCTGCTTTGGGGCAGAGTTTGAATAACTGTGACAGAGGCCGTATGGCCAAGAAGCTGATAGCATTTCTTGTCAGCCCTTGACTAAGGGCTTGCCAGCCCCTGGCCCGTGACGTCACCTTCTGTGGTGCCTAGCCTGCACCAGAAGCTGGTGCTTCATGCCTTCTTAGGCACTACACCAGAAGGGAATCTAATGAGGATTTGGGCCAATAAATATTTTTCAGAATATTTGGAAGACTTCATTAAACCTACCAGCCATTACTATTTTTTGTAGACCACAGTGTTGAATAGTACAAGTATACCCCGAATTTCATCTGCCTTTTGGTTGCCATCTTTTGGGTGTTTTACTAATATTCTTAAAATACCTGTGCTGTCTTTACATCTCTTGTGCTGATGACTGGTTGAACTCGTTTGTGTATTTTGGTAGAGTACCCATACTCATAAGAGTAAATTGTGAAATTCTCAAAAAAAAACCCTCAGGGATACTTAGAAGAATGGGAACTTGCTCTGTAAATGTGGGTCCGTCTGCAGGTGTTGGCATTTCCTCATTTTTCCACAGGGGGAAGTCTGCTGAGGCTGAAGCTGTGGACAGGCCGTTTGGGGAGAAGCGCTATGACCCACTGCAGGCCACACAGCCTCCTCCACCGCCGCCCGCCCAGTACAGCCAGGCCGCCCAGCCCGGCCCCAGCACCACCCTCAGCCTCCATTCACACACCAAGGGGACACTCGGCGAAGGTAGGCGGCTCAGGAGTTGGCAGGACCACTGTAATAGACTCACACTTACAAGATGAAAAGTACGTGCTCGAAACCTCTGGGCTGAGAACAGCGGAAAAATAAGGGGCTTTGTTAAAAGTATCTCTTCTTTTTTATGATAATGACAGTTATATCAGACAAACCTTTTAGCTAAATAGATTTTAACCTGCCTCCTTAACATAGCTTAATTTCTGAAAGTAGTTTTTGTTTACCAGTATGCCCAAAACTAAATGTTTGAACGTGGTTTGTAAAAATTATGGTGATGTCCGTCTTTGCACGTGGATATAGGGCGGCCGTAGAGTTTCACATAATACGAGTCCCTGAGCACCTCGTCTTTGCATTTGTGTTCTGTGGCGGAGGCTCATCGAGATAGATCCCATCAGCTCCAGAGCGCTCACCTCAGGGTGGCGTCCCTGCGTGTGCACCCACGTCTTCTCCTTCACATCTCTGAGCAGTTACTGTCTCTCTTCCCGGGCCACTGGCCCAGCTCCTCTCCCCTTCCCCATAATCCTTCCCTTTGCCTTCCAGTAAGTGCCACTGCCTCATGCCACCTTCCCAGCTCCACAGCCATTAGACGTCCTGGAAGGGACTGTTGCCTCCACCCTCCCAACATCTCTCTTCTCATTTGGTGCTTTCAAAGGATACACCACAGTTCACCCATCTCCTGGTGATGTTTTGCTCCTAGAAACAGTGCTCCTCTGTATTTATGTAGGAGTCCAATCCCAGGGGTATAATTTGATATTACTTTGTTAGGATTTTCTGTACACACTATCATGTCTGCTGATAAAGTTTAAATTTTTACTCTGCAAACCTTATGCCATTTTTGCACTGGCTGAGACATCATAGTAAAATGTCGAGTTGAAGTGATGGTGGCAGACATCTTTTGCTAGTTCCCCATTGTGGGGAGAAAGGATTGAATGTTTCACCGTTACAATGTTAGCTGTAGGGGGTTTTGTAGGTGCCTTTTATTATGTTCTAGTCCTAGTTTGCTGAAAGCATTTTGTCAACTGTTTTTTTCTTGTATGTATATCGTCCCTCAGTATCCGCAGGGGACTGATTCCAGGACCGCACCACCACCACTCCTTCACCCCCATCCCACCATATGCACACTGAAATCTGCGGATACACACGTCCCCTGTGTAACTGGTGTAGTACAGTCGACCCCATGTGTCCATGGGCTCTGCATCCGCAGATACAGAGGGCCAAACGCACTAAGATGATCCTAAGATTTGTCTCCATTCTGTTTCTGTAATAAGTTATCTTACTATGTTCACAAGGAGCTTTGGTTTATCATTTCCTTATAATGTCCTTATCTGGTTTTGGTATCAAAGTTGTGCTAGTTTCATGAAAGAGAGCTGGGACGTGTTCCCTCTTTCTCTCATTTCTGGAAGAGTTTGTATAGCACTGATATGATTTTTTCCTTAATTATTTCATAGAATTCAGTTGGTGCTATTTTGCACTGCCACCCGCGGTACAGAGGGTCCCTGACTCATGACGGTTTGACTTTACATGGTGCAGAAGCGATGCACATGCACTAGAAACTACTTCGAATTTCGATCTTTTCTCAGGTTAGCAATAAGCAATACAATCTCTCGTGAAGCTGGGCAGCGGCTGTGAGAAGAGCCCCCAATCAGATACTGCATCACGGGGGTGAATAACTGACACACTTTGAACTGTCCTGGACCCAGAGAGCCAGTCTGTTTTTTACTTAACAGGACCGTATTCAATAGATCACATGAGATATTTAACACTTTATTATAATATTTTGTGTTAGATGATCTTGCCCAACTGTAGGCTAGTGAGAGTATTCTGAGCATGTTCAGGGAGACTGGGCTGAGCTACGATGTTCTGGTAGGTCCCGTGTATTAAGCACATTTTTGACTTTGAACCTCCCCTGGGAAGTCGAGGAACATCTGTACATGGAAATTTCTGTTATTCCACATCTTTGCCAATGCTTGGCACTACCAAACTTGTAATTACGTTTTGCCAGTTTAATGGATGTGAACTGATGTTTTTTGTTTTTGTTTTGCAGTTTCCTAATTAATAGTGATGTTGAGTATCTTATTGTATGCTTTACTGGTTAGTCTAGTCTTCACTTGTGTTTTTGCTTGTTCGGGTCTTTGCCTATTTTCCTATTGGTTGATTCTTTCTTATGGATGTATAGGTATTCTTCATAGGTTTTGGATCCTAATTTTTTTTTAAATCAGTTATACATGTTGTACATAGCTTCTGCCAATCTGACTTTTCTTTTTTAACTTTAATTATGGTGAGTTTTGTAGTACTGACTTTTTTTTTTTAACATGGCCAGTTTTGTCATTCTGTTTCTAATTTATTGTGGACACTGGAGCGGGGTCACTCCGATGCCAGTCTCTGGAGGCCAGGACTCCCAGCCACATGACCCTGACTCCAGGCAGCGGTACATGAACACTGTCCCAGGTGTCCCTGCTACCTCCTGGCCCCTCAGCATCACACACAGCCACCAGGGGTCAAGAGTGTCCTCAGACTGCTGACCCAGACCCAGTCATTGACTCTGACACCAGGACAGGTTAAGATGAGAGGGACATCAGATGACTGTTAGAACTTGTGTCAGGAAGGGCGTTTTGGTTTTTGTTTTCTGTATGGATGAAAAGTTGTTTCAAGGTTTATTCCTAAAAACTTAGTTTAACATGGTCACCACGGTCTCCCACAGAATATCACTTGTTGATACTTTCATGAATGAATTACTCATCTGGATAGATTTTATTCCTGACCCATTATAACATCTTTTCCATCTCACAAACCATTACAGTCAGTTAGAGATGGGTTTGTAATTCTTTTTTTGTTCAAGCCACCGAATGTACTTTATTGTTTTTCTTATTAGTTGACTTATAATATTAGTTTTGATGTACAGCATAGTAATTCAGTATCTGTTTTCAGGAAGTTTTTGAAATACTTGTATGTGTGTGTTTTTCAGGTAATTCCATGTCATTGGATTTTCACAGCTCTTTAGTGTCCAAACCAGACCCACCTCCATCTCAGAATAAGCCAGCAGCTTACAGACCAGCCAACCGAGAAGACGCTGCACAGTCTGCTTTCTATCCCCAGAAAACTTTCCCAGATAAAGCCCCAGCTAACGGGGCCGAACAGACTCAGAAAACGATCACTCCAGCATACAATCGATTCACACCAAAACCATATACAAGTTCTGCGCGGCCATTTGAACGCAAGTTTGAAAGTCCTAAATTCAGTCACAATCTCCTGACGAGTGAAACTGCACATAAACCTGACTTGTCTTCCAAAGCCCCCACTTCTCCAAAAACTCTGGTGAAAGCACACAGTTCCACGCAGCCTCTGGAGTTTGACAGTGGAGTTGAGACGTTCTCGGTCCACGCAGATAATAAGCCTAAATATCAAGTAAACAGTATCAGCACAGGGCCTAAAGCTGTGCCCGTGAGGTAAGATTTTTTTTCTTGGCCTGGTGACGTCTCTCACGTGAGTTGGGTGTAGTTTTGGGAACCTGACTGATGATTTCAACTCAAACTTTAAGCTGAATGGTGTTGTCCAAAATGTTGGAATGACTAAAGGTTCTGTAAGAGGCACTAAAGCTGGTGCTTCTTATCTCCATTGTGTAAGAACCCAGGCTGAGAGGCACTGTATTTCACTCAGGGTCACACAGCCATGCTCAGGGAGCCTAGACCCAGCCACTGGTCTGACTTCTGACCTCAAAGCCAGACTCCTAACCAGCCCTGGCTTCCCATGACCTCTGACCTCCAGCTGGGGTGGCACGTTTGGAGAATATCTCAAAAATAATAGAGTATCTGTATTCCTCATCCACTGTTTATTCAGCAGTGAGTTTGAAAAGAAGATGTAATAACCTCAAAATGGTTGTTTAAAAAAGAGCTTTCTTAATAGTTTTGGTCAGATGGCTGAGCAAATGAGATGAACCCAGCCTGCCTGGAGCCACGCTCCCTACACCCCTTCCCTCATCTGCACAGTGACCGACCAGACCCGTGCTGGCCATGCAGAAACCTCCCTAAGCCACTGACGCAGAAAGTACTCACGGGCCACCTGCAGGCTGCCTCCCGAGCGGAAGCACAGCCAGGGGATGTGGAGGAGCGGCCCCCTCACAGGGGCCCCGCGGTACCATTGACCCGGGGAGCCCATGCCCACCGCTCTGGCCACGGAGGAGTGAAGCCGCTCCTGCACTCACTTTCATTTTGTTGGCCCATCTTTCTGCTCACGTTTAGTCCTGGCTCAAAACTTTGCTTCAAGAAGTCCTGGGAACCTGCACTTTTGAAGGAGAATTGGTACCACATTCCCTCTGCCTCGGGCGTCTTTGTGTGAACCGCGTGAATGGACCATCTCCTCTCCATGAGCGATTGCCCACACCCGAGTCTTTACCTCACGGAATTGGGTGTCTGTGCTCAGGCAGTGGGGAGGGAAGGTCATAGTATGCACACCAGAAATCCTCTAAGATGCCATCAGTTGTGAGATGCACCACTGTCTTACGTATCACTAAGAAGGAAAAAACATGCTACCAATTAAAACCATGATGTGCCATCAGTTTTAGAACACCAGTTTCATGGATGTAAAATATTGGGTGAGCAATGTATCAGGCCTTGCATGTTCTGATTGCAGAAAATCAGTAATGAAGGTAACTTGACCAGTTACCTTTAAAAATGACATTGACTTCTCGAGGAAGAATATGCTTAGTTATCCCTGTGAGTAAAGTCTGTCAGTCACTGAAAACTTATTAAAGTAAGTAACTGCTTGATTATATGCAGAGAGAAAAATAGAATGAAACCACCGACTAGACTAGCAGTGAAAGCTCCTGTATGTCACTAGGAATGTACTCATTAGCCATTTCTGAACTCTCAGTCCCTCAGCTGTAGAAGAGGATGAAGATGAGGATGGTCACACTGTGGTGGCCACCGCCCGCGGCGTATTTAACAGCAATGGTGGGGTGCTGAGCTCCATAGAGACCGGCGTTAGTATCATTATCCCACAGGGAGCCATTCCTGAGGGAGTCGAGCAGGAAATCTATTTCAAGGTCTGCCGAGACAACAGCATCCTCCCGCCTTTGGATAAGGAGAAAGGTGAGTGTGTGATGTCCTGCTTAGTTTCAATAACTCGAGCTGCCCTGTGTGCTTTTCAAAGCTTACTGTGCTCAGTAGACAGGATACCCTAGACCTCTGTTCTCCCCCCACCCTGGCTGCCCTCAAGTTCCTTCTACTAGGGAGGGCCTCTCCAATGAGCACTGTGGAGAGGGAAGCCTCTGCTACCTTCACTGTGACGGTGACAATAGGGGATGGGGTCATTGGGCACTCCTGTACCTGCCAGCCAGTCTCAGCCGACCTCACCGGATTTTTGTCTTTGAGTCGCTCCTGCCTTGCAGCTCTAGAGACGGATTAGGTAACACCCACTCCAGAGGCCTTGCTCTGTGCTGCCACCTGCTGGTGCAGTGTAAGGCTCTTGGGTCAGGTCTTCCTCCCTGCACAGACCTAGCACAAGTAAACACGCCGCAGAGGAAGCATCCCCCTCGGCTGTCGCGGCGTGTGTTTCTGAACTGCTTCGGGAATCTAGGAATGCTCTTATTTTTCACAGTCTTCCAGATCTGTCAGGATGAAATGATAATGAACCATGTTGCCGCTTCTTTAGAATATTTTAGCAGTGCTTTGCTTCCTTAAATACATTATTTTAGCTCATTTTCGTACATTTTGCCAGAATACTAACATGTTCACACCCTCCTGCGTGAATCTCTTAAACCAAGTCTGTAGCAAATACAACATTAAAAACACAAGATATAAGTAACATTTGTAAAATGTTTGAGTATGTCTTACACCATAAGAATGCTGGGATTGAATGAAGTAGCCACCAGCTACGTTGTGGCTGTTTAGCCCTTGAATTGTGGCTATTTTAATTGAAACGGGCTAGAAGTGTAAAATACACACCAAAGATTCAGTATATTGCTCACATGTTGAAATAATGTTCTGGATATACTGGGTTATATAAAATATTAAAATTGACTTCAATTGTTCCTTTTTAATGTGGCTACTGGAAAATACTAAGTTACATCTGTGGCTCCTGTTAAATTTTTGTTGGTCAGTGCTACTACAGAGAACTAACCCTCTTTGGCTTTAAAGCATATGGTTAGAAGGAGGGTGAGGAGAACTGTGGGTGTAGAAGGAAGCCAGCTGTCTAACCTCTCTCCCCCCGCCCCAGGTGAGACCCTGCTGAGCCCCTTAGTGATGTGCGGGCCCCATGGCCTCAAGTTCCTGAAGCCCGTGGAGCTGCGCTTACCACACTGTGCGTCCATGACTCCTGACGGTTGGTCTTTTGCTCTAAAATCATCCGACTCCTCGTCGGGTATGCTGTCTTCACTCTGTCCTTTGGGGGCTTTGGGTACTGTCGTTGATTGACCCCTGGGCTGACGGAGCTACCCGTGCTGTCTGTGCACAGATCCTCCCTCTGTTCCTGTGGCCTTGTAGGCGTCACCAGTGTTTTGGAGTTTATTTGTGGTGCATATATTGAAAACTGAAAGGTAGAGAAGCTTCTGCCTTGTAAACATTGATGATTTGGCCAAAGGTTGACTGTTTCTTGGTGTTCAACAAAATTATTCTGTCAAAATTTTTAAGATGAGGTGGGAGAATTGATATTGTCCTACATATATATGCATTTCCGTCTTTATACTAAAATGATTCCTTTATGTAATAATTTCTATTTTTGGTTACTATTTCTCAGTCTACAAAGTATATATATATATATATATATATATATATATATATATACACATATACTTTGTAGGTGCGTGTGTGTGTATGTATACGCACACACACTAGAGAAACTTGAAAGATAAAAGACCTTACACTGTGATCATACTTGGCCATGGTTTTTCCATGTAAAACTCAAAATAACTTCTGTAATACACTTTTAAAATGGCTTTTTGCTGTCGAGATCATAATTCCAAAGCTTCTCATTGCATTTTCACATTTCTCACTTCCTTGGGTGACTAAGTCAGTTAGACTAAAGTAAGAACTTTCTATATATATGGCCTAGAACACTTTAATTGAACCTGATGTAGAAAAAAAGAATTTAAAGTTCTGAATTTTTGATAAATCATTATACAGTTTTAGTTTGGTACAGTATGAAATAGAGTTTTACGGTGTAAAGAACATATTTTAATATTATCCAACATAAAATATTACATATATTCATTCACAAGTACCCCATTTTCTGGGAAAAGTTCTTCAGGAACTCCACTGAGAAACATGTTATTAGCCTGGTTTGAACTAATGAATTAACATTGATAAAACTGCATTTAAAACGTACATTCCAAAAGTCAGGTTTTAGTGTGGGCTGTGATCGTCCTCTAACCCAAAATAGGTTGAGGGTCCTTAAAGTAACAATCTGTCGTTACTTGTTTTATAAGCGATTTTTTTCCCAGATACGAAAAAAATCAGTATGCTTTGTATAATTTGTTTTGTGCCACAGAACATGTTATTTTGTTAGATTGAAACAACTTACTTTTTCCTGTGTTAAATTTGAGTATGTACACCTAGAAGAGAAATGTAATTTTTGCTACTATAAATTTCTGTTTTAAAAACTCAAGGGTAGATTTTGATAGCTACTGACTTAATTCCAAGAAGCATTTATTAGTATATTGGAAAGAATTTTGAACCTAAAGTTTTTCCCAAGAGTTGTCATAACTATCTCATTGCCTAAACAATTTATCTGCAGTATTGCACAAGCCCACATGTATCTGTGAAGTTAAACCCCTCTGTTGTAAATTGCTGAGCCCACCATGACTCAGATGTCGCTTAGGTAACGGACAGCTTACAGTCTGCAGGGTTTCTCAGCCTTGGCCCTGTGGGGTGTTTAGCAGCCTCCCTGGCCTCCACCCGCTAGATGCCAGTTGTGACAAGCAAAAGCCTCCAGACACTGTCCCCTGAGGGGCAGAACTGTTGCTTTACAGGCAGCAGCTTTGACTGTCACTTACCATGGACATAAGAGATGTATGGCTGTCCCAGCCTTCTTTATGTTGAGTCCACTGCCAGGGCTCCTTAGCTATAGCTGCAAATCTCAAATCGCCTGGTTAAAAGCTGGTTAAAAACTCCAAAGCCCAGGCCCTGCTTCAGTCTTACTCAGTTCAGTGACTTTTGGAAGCATCATGAATGGTTTTGTTGTACAGCAGGATCAGGGCTAAGAATCTCTGGCCCAGTCTCAATGAATTTTTTTTTTTTTTTTTTTTGTAAAGGGGAGGAGGCTCCTTAAGAACCGAATTCTGCAGAATGTTCAGGTTTTCATTTGGTCTGTCAAGTGTGAGAAATGTGTTCTCATACTCAGCTCAAATGGGGTAATCATGTAATTATTGTCTAAACTTCTGAAAGTGAAAGAAGGGTACTCTTTTTTTTTTTTTGCGGTACGCGGGCCTCTCACTGTTGTGGCCTCTCCCATTGCGGAGCGCAGGCTCAGCGGCCATGGCTTACCGGCCCAGCTGCTCCGCGGCATGTGGGATCTTCCTGGACCGGGGCACGAACCAGCGTCCCCTGTATCGGCAGGCAGACTCTCAACCACTGCGCCACCAGGGAAGCCCAAGAAGGGTACTCTTAATAAGGGTTTGGACTCAGGGGCAAACTGGAACTGTCCCAGGCACATGATCACCCTAACTTTTATTCATTTTTTAAAAGGCTCAAACTTGAAAACAAAAGAAATAAACGAGAAATCTGCAACAGCTTTTGGATCATTAGATTCCAGTGGGTCTCCAATGAAGTATATACATATAGCGCTAAGAGTTTTGGTACAAGTGCAGTATGCTGAAGAAATAGAGGAAAATTGTATCTAAATATATATGTTTGTATTTGTCCCATGATTGCAAAGCATTACAGATAGCAGTTTAACCAACCAGAAATGACGTGAACTTTTTTTTCTCTTGTAGGCGATCCTAAAACCTGGCAAAACAAGTGTCTTCCTGGAGATCCAAATTATCTTGTTGGAGCAAACTGTGTTTCTGTCCTGATTGACCACTTTTAATTCTTAAAATGTAGGAACTTGATTAAATAATGTGAAACTGGGTTAAACTTACTAAATCTAAATGGAACCACTCCATCAAGTATTATGCTTTTCCTATAATTGACACTGCAGTGTGTTAGTATCACACGCTTTGTTTGAACTGGAGAGGCTGAGTGAACATCCCCTGAACCGTGCTCGGGAAACATGCTGCCTGCTGCATGTTGGGGGTCGGTGTTGGCTACAGCCTCCAAGATGTGATGCTTTGTAATGAGTTTTGTACTTTTATATGGTCACTGCTTAACTTCACATATTGATTTCCGTTAAAATACCAGCCAGTAAATGGGGTGCATTTGAGTTTTGTTCTTTCCAGAGTACACTGTTTCAGACTTTATTATGGCCCTGGCCTGGCATACACATTTTTATTATGCATGAGGTAATCACACGTTTTTAAAAAGCACCTCAAATGTATAACCAGTGTAGTGGATTTAACAGAAATGTACAGCAAGGGGAATTTATAGCTTTTTTTTTTTTTTTGGCGGGGCGGGGCAAGTGAAGACAATTACTTACTGTATATGAAAACTCATTTTTCTTAGGGAAGGACACCAAAGCATGTGAGACTGGTTCTGTGGCCTCTTTGGATCTATAAGTTAACCATATCACCATAGACATACTAACCAGCAGGGATGCCT